CATTCTTACAGTTGTCTGAGCTTGCTAAATCTGGCCCTACCCTCACTTGGTAACAAACCACACAGAGTCGTCTAACTTTGGAGAAGACACTCAAAAAGATCAGTACGAATGGCGTAAATAAATAGCGACTGTCTAGACAACTCTGATGTGGGCAGAAAACTGGGCTCCACATTCTTCTGAGAAAGTACTTCAAAATTGCCCCAGGAACCACCAAAATTCGAACGATGGCTGTGGGCAGCAACGGGAAAACATCACCCGCCCACGCACACTTTTTTTAACTGGCCATCACCCCACACTCCCTGTAATCCAGTAAACGCTTCGCTCGGCTACTTCTCGTGACTCCTATAAGAGGACAAAAGTACTATCTTATTATTTGCGGAGTTCCAAATGAGGGGACTCAGTAGGTATCCTTTTTGAAATCTCATTGGCTGACAGGAAACGTTCCTCCCTATTCCTTCTTTTAGTAGCGTGCCACCAAAATGGACGCGTCTCTCAAATTCTCGGTTGGGATGAACACTAATCGGCCAAATTTAACCTTCTGGTGTCCCCGTTATCCTGACGTAGTGGCTTATGTCTGCTATTGTGGATTTCATAAGTATTTGTTTCATGTCCTTCAGAATCTGTGGTTGAATCACGGTCAGATGCTCCCGACAAGGTAAAGGTGTAATATTAGTACTGTACACATTCATGCACCACACCTCTAACACCTCTAGCACCTCTGAACCTAAAAAAACCCATGAGCATCACCCTAGTCCATTAGAAACCAGCTGGGTCAGTATCAATCTTCTAGCTTATATGGATTCCCAGTTTGGTCACGTGCATTCTGTGGAAGCTTATCTGTGTGGCCACTTTGAAACTGAAGTTCTTCGCACATATCGAACACTGAGTTCTTTGGTCATCAGCTGCTTTTTCTAAATCACGGATCCTCCACACACACACACACACACATACCGTGCAACATTACCGCCAGCAAACGAAAATCAGTTGTAGGGGCTGTTGGATATGCATACAGCTCCCCTAAGATTATTATTACTCCCGGGTATAGACTGACTCCAACAGTTCCTTGGTAGATGAGCCAATAGAGGTTTCCCTGTCTTGGAAATCGTTCCGTAGCACTACCGAAACTGAAACCAGAAAGAACACACCGAAAACCGAAATCTCAATAAGGATACGCTGATCAGTTAGATAATGATCAGCATGAGAATGCTGTTTTTCAGTGGATGCCTAAGTGACGGCACATGAAGTGGGCTGCAATCTGAAGACTTCGATACTGATTCTACCTGCCAACAAGTTTCGTTTTCTGTGTGTCAGGTACATGATTTTAGTTTATTTTCCGTTCAAAAGAGTTACCCTAATTCAATTCCTGCCCCCCATGAAAGCATTCTCCATAGAAATGCAAGAGTTAAAGTTAAGGTTTAAGCTGAGTTCACACAACTTGTGTTTTAGGCTAGTCTGGTCATTCCCGTAGTTACTTACCCCATTATTTTATCCCTAGAATAAACAGTGCTGTAAACCAGTGCGATCGAAATTCTCCCAGACAGCCTGACTACAGAGAGTGAATACGTTTACAATGAAGCATACCCTGGATGGGATCCTGAGTAAATACAAGTAGTATGCAATAACGTAAGTAGATTAACTGCATGGTTTAGTTCAGTCATCGAGGATGTAACGCGTAGGCTGTAGCTGTTAGGTGCGTCTGATCAATACGGAACAGCAGTGGAGTCAACTGATAACCAAAAACCCTAATCACTGATTGTTTTGCCTTGGTAACCTAAAGAGAACTTGGTTATTCGTGTTTTCGTCGTCTTCCTACAATGACTGAAAAATAAATCGTACCTCTTGTGAATGTGGTCTGATTCAACACAAGCATCCCAGTGCAGAAATAGACAATTGGATGTTTCTGAATTCTAGTATTTCAGTTCAAGGTCTTTGCTTATTTGGGTCTTCAGTGTGCCCATCTCGGACTGTCCAGCTCTTCATATTAACGTAAAATGTAAGGACGCAGGTGAGTGTGTACTTCTCACTTTGTTGGAGAGAATTCCAGCCGTTGGTTGAATCTGTCGGACAACAGTTACTTAACGAGCTCTCACACGCTCTTGGTTCCGACGTGAACTGAAAGTAGAACTTACATACGCACAATAGAAAGCCTCGATTCCAAGTTCTTTTCTCACCTTACTTTGCTCGAGCAGTCTATCCAGCTCGATTCCGGTCTCACTAAAATGTGACAGCTGAAGTTCCAGCTACCCATCGTTTGCCATCCACTTTCCCATTAAAGTTTTCTGCCCTCGTACAAAGACACACACAAGCGTACAGCCATACACAAGCATTTATTTCGCTACTCCATGCTTAGCGTTGTAAATGTCCCGTTGTTCGTTAGGTAGCTTTCACATCAAGAGTGTAGTGTCTCCTACAAACACAACACGACAAGACCTGATTGCCAGAACAGAAGAATGTATAATTACACGTTGTGGAAACTTTTTGATCTCCCCCCTTATCCCCTTCAACGCTTCTTTGCTCCCTACCGCTCCACCATCACGGTCGCCACTCTTGTTGGCTGAATCGTGTCATTAGAGCATTGACTCGCCGTTATATATTGGGCTTTTCTCAGGTAATTGATCTTGGTCTTTGGACAAGAGAAAAAAGAGAACAAGACGAAAAATGGGATAGTGAACCGTTGATAACCACGTGTTCCCGGACCATCTGCCCACTGATTAACTCCACTATGCTTTAGGATGGAAACTTGAGTTGGCCTTTCTTTCAACGATATTACTCTGAGCAGTTGACCGTAAAATTAGCTGTGCGGATAAAATTTCTTTCTTCTTGGACTTTCCGCATCAGGACAACTGACACAAACAGTTCAGCATAGATTATCCCTTTATATCCCTCGAGGTATACAATTTAAGGGTAAGAATTGCTGCAACCAGAATAGATATGCACCTTACTGATCAAAACTCTACAATGAGTGATTGCCGCCGGAATTGGATGCGCTCATTTCAGCCGATATTCTAACTCTCACTCTCACAGTCATCCGTTTATTCTATACATCTCCCATGAACACCAAAGTGATTTGCAAACGAGTGTGTTTGTTGCAACCCTACCACTTCTTTGAACAAGGTGTGCGGTATTCGAGCTACATGAAACCAGACCGACAATTCACAGACTTACGAGTTGAAAAGTCTGGCTCGTATTAGGGACTACGAACGTAAAAGTTCTGAATCGAAGTGCCTGACCCCACAGTTGCACTACGTATTGTGAGCAGAAACCCCCCTATGGTCACCACTCAGATGAGCGAAGAAGGATAAATACATAGAGTATAACAGCTTCTGTGTGGATGAAAAGGAATGCCAGCAATCTGAAAAACGTGGAAAAATGTGCTAACCTACATGACGATTCAGTTGGTTCAAACATTTTTGTTCTGCCGGTTGCACAATCAGTAAACTAGATATGTCCACGAAGACTAAGGTAACCGTACAGGAGCCTCATCACGGCACGTTGAATCAATGTTCATACGGTGCGCAAGTATCCTCAACTAAGAATAATAACCCCGCAATCCATAAAAATATTTTATTACGCAACTATTTGGTTGCTTCCGTTCCTCCTAAGAGTCAGTTTGAGTCTCTATTAATCAAGGCACGTGCGCACACACTCTACCGGGAATTGCCTGTTCACATCTCCCCCGAAAAGATAAAAGGTTGACGCTACCTTACGATTACACCTTACCACCTAGCATAGGTCACAGCCATGTGCTTGTTTGGTATTTGTCGTATTCGGACCATTTTCGCCAAGACTTGTCAGCGCTGAGAAGACGCTGGACACAACACAGATGAAATAAATTATCAAATGTGAACTGGCCACGTGACCAATGCCTGGGAGATACAATGAAGTGCTCACCAACCGGCAACTATTGACTGATGCTGAAGAAACCTAATTATAGTCTGAAATCACGTGAATCACCCAAGCATGAAAAGAGTGTCGACGAGACTGTCGCATTCTTTAAAAGGGGGAAGAACGGAGTATGTTGTGTGATGTCTGCTCTACCAAACATCGGGGATTTTATATGCAACCCTGCTAGCTCCATTTTAGGTGATGCTGACGACCGAGAGAAAATAAAGGTAGTTTGTCCTTCTTTAAGCGACGAACTGCGCGCCAAAACCGTCTTCAAAGCAGTTGGTGATGTATGAAAGTTCTTACTGGATTATCATCCAGTCACACGATGAAAAATGGAATTGAGACTTTCAGGACTTTCCATCACGATCCACAGTAGCCCACAACAGTCACTCATTATCAGTTCTTCTGGACGCAGAAGCAAACATCCCCGTGCCTGCCAGCTCAGTGAAGGTGTCGAGTGAACTTTGTTCTTCATTACACTGACTGATTCTACCACTGGTCTACGGGATCCTTTGAGTTTGTCTTTCGGTGGTCTGAAGGCTGAAGACCGTGTGCTTAAAAATTCAGGTATAAAGACTTACTTAGAGATACCAAATGCTGCTAATCATTTTTGTAAACGGGTTGTGTATCGAGCCTAGAAAAGCGTAATACGGTGACCGGAATCGAATCTCAAATATTCAGATGAAATCTCGCGCTATAACTCAATTTTCAGTTGAGGTTCCATTCTCCAAACACGTTCCTACCCCATACATTATTTGTTCTGCCTTAGTTTCGACTCTATACACTGCTGCTGAGTAACCCTGTCGGAGTGAACTCAACGAAAAAGCTTGCTTGTTTGCTGTAAATTCATGATTGTGTGGTTCTGTCAATACCAACAACACGAAAGATATCAGTAGGTCAGAAGTGATGCGGGAGTTAGAAGTATCAAGACGACTCCAGGGATACAGTATAGAGAAAAGCAATATGCGTGATATCACTGTCATTGATTAGGATCTTTGTGTAAAGTTGTAATTTGTCCTGGGGTTGGCTCATGTCTAAGAGTGACACACTGACTCAGTCATGTAGAACAAACTGACTCAGTGGACTGAGCCACCCTTGCAATCAGGCTGAGCCTAGACTGACCACATGGAGGAAGAACGATCATTAACTCCAGCAGGTGCAGCACTTCCATCACAGTGTCTTTTTGCTGGACGATGTGGAGCATCCGGATAAAGGTCATCCTTATAATCACAATGGTTGGCATGTGTCCGAGACTCAGGTCGGCTTTGATCGATTGACGCCTCTGAACAACGGGACAGAAGTCCTTCGGCTCGCTCGCTTTCGAAGACGTCGGATTTGGGAGACAGAGATGAATCTGGTCGTTCCTCCGCATCAACACTTTTCACAGTATCCGTTTCCCCACCCAGTTCATCGGATTCGCAATGTGTTCGAACGTGTTTATTCAGGTGATCACTTCTCAAAAAGCGTTTATGACATACCGGACAAAGAAAACGTTTCTCACCTGTATGAGTTCGTAGATGTCGCTGAAGTTCGTCTGAACGTGTGAACCTCTTCCCGCACAATAACCAATTGCATACAAATGGGCGTTCTCCCGTGTGCCATCGCAAATGTGCTTTAAGGTGGCTCGTCTTATTGTATACTTTCCCACAACCGGGGACATGACAACTATGCAGATTTTTACGCCGAAGTTCGGCTGCCACAGCTGGAGCCGTAAGATTTAAACGTTCGACTTCCTGGCAGTTGGGACAGTCACAGGTTGTCCGTCCTGAGTAGCGTCTGGAACTTCCGCTAGAAGTGGTGCTCTTTGACGTCACAGTTGTAGCACTTTGCTCTGTCGTCGATTGGAGTGAGCCTTCAAGACTAACTGAGCTGTGAGAACCAATATCGTCACTTTTCTCAGTTCGGTAGTCTAGTGAACAGGGCGACCCATAGGGACTTTCGGTCAGGCCACCATTTCTAGCGGATAATAAGGACTGATATATGTGTGCATAATTACTGGAATACAACTGAGGGCCTCTGGTTGGGGTTTGGGCCACAGCAGCAGCTACAAGAAAGGACTTGTAGGGATCATTTGACCATAACTGATTTACTCCGTTTCCCCAAGCGGAACTTTCACTATTTTCGTAGGCTGATACGGCCAATGAATCCGGCAGTCTTGACTCAGATTCTTTACTATGTGTTTTGAACCAGTCTCCAAAGTTGTTACTGGCGTATTCTGGATAAGAGTATGAATGACACTGGGGTGTATAGAGACATGGATGTTGTTGACGGTGATCGTGCTGTTCACTTTCCAATGCATATCCTTCTGTCGGCAAACAATCTGTGGGATGACTTGTCGGTGTGGTTTCTCGACCGTAGGAGAACGTGGCTTGTGCTTGACTGAAAGTATCCGAACCAACAGAGTTCGAAACTGGGGTATACTCAAGCCTTTGTCCTTCAAATGTGGCACGATAGGGCGTTGCCCAGTGTGATTCATTTTGTGTACATTGTATAGAGCTAAGATGATCCTGAGTGTAAGTTAGGTAGTCATGTGCTTGTTCACTCTGAAGGAGAGCCGTCCAGGATTCGGTGTTACGTACATTAGGATAGTGTGCAGGTTGGTTACTTTCGACCCTTCTATCGTGGGTAAATGAGACCGAGGACGTAACATCAGCTCGATTCACAGAAAGTGGTTGCATCATTTCGTTCTCGTGCGGTCGAGTGGATATTACCTGATCAGATCTAGAATGTGGAACAGCTGGATCGAATTCAGATAAAAACCCTGAAGGAGGACGAATATCTCGCAAACCATCATAGAAATTGCCAGACGTTGAGTAGCACTGCGATGGTTGTTGGTGTGGGACAGTAGAATAACCGGAATGCATGGGGCCCGACTGTGGGAGTAACGGTGGCAAATCGGTTGGCTCGCTACACGCCGATGAGTTTGTTGTAAGTGAAGATAGATCCGAAGGGGCCATTGGTGACCGGGTAGGATATGCGAGGAGTGACGGAGCGTCACTGCTGATAGCTGAGAATCTCGGCACACTATGAGACGAATTTCTCGGAGACACTAAAGATTCCGAGGCCACATTTCCCCGTTCTAATGTATTGGTTATTGGACCTGGGCAGATTGGCTCAGCACCGTAATTCGGGGCTGCTAGACTGGTTGCAGAGTAGGAGGGTGGATTTAAACTATTACTAGCCCCAACTTTTTGGCACTGAAGGGCAAGCATGGAGAGAGGCGATACAGATTGGCCCGAAGCAAAGTGCTGGGAGATACTGGCTTCCTAAAGTTGAAAAAAAGAAAGAGATAGCTATATGCTTGTGAATGCAATACTGGCTTCCTAAAGTTGAAAAAAAGAAAGAGATAGCTATATGCTTGTTATGTGAAATGCATTATACAGCAGTGGACTGAAGATAACGGCTTCTGCAGCCGGTCCGTTCAGTTTAGGTTACAACAATACTCGTCAGTTGTACAGACTGTATACTCGCTTACTTGTCTTAATGAGGGTTCTCTCTTCAAACACTGTTTGTTACACGTGATCACGTGTCCTCATCCAGGCTTTCTTTCAGACAGCTGGTATATGAACGTCGCGATCTAACCCGTAATTAAACACCACCTTGCAGAGAGATGCTCTGCCACACACTCGAATGTAGGTAAAGGTGGCTTGATGTCGGTTTCATTCCTGTTGTTACACGCGTACGTTCTGTTGATCAACCTGGCAGCTCGATGAACCACACAATCAGAGTGGTTCTTATCTGGCCTAAATCGAATTCGGTGTTGGACAACGTCTCATGTTATCTTCTACCGTAACTGACAGGCGAGATAAGAATGGCTAGGTTACTATAACCCAGGCCTGCGTTGGCTAAATTTTCATTGTCATGGTAAACGAAATCTAATAATTCTGTGCCAGTTGTAGGTATATGGTTGTACAGTGCACACGGCAAGACTGTAAGCATCCAAATTTGGAGGAATTTCTTTCAACCCTCTCTGTGACAACATTCCTCCAGATTGCAGGCAAATTTCCCTTACAGTGCCCTTAATGAAAGGAATGTTAGCAACAGGTCTTACGCTACCAGGACCAATTTCGCTGTCCCCTCCACGATTATGGTAATCCGCAAAATTTCTTGCATTAGAAATAATAGCGAGACAGCTATATCAAATGACTTCGCACTATTCTTGCAATGCCAAACCTATTTCACTCAAGTAAAACGATGGGATTTTCGGAATGTTGCTAAAACACAAGCTGAACATCAAGAGGTGTTTGCTACCGATGGAGTCAAAAGTTGTTGGGTCAAAAGTGTTCCAGCATTTAAACGTCATTATTTCGGACAAGCCTTTAGAGGGGTGCTTTTGAGGAACTAGAAAATGCGTATCATTTACGACGGCTCAGCTTAGGATATTTCCACATTGGACCATTGTCTCCTCAGGTTTATGTGTCCCAAGAAATTTCGGTTTTTCTGTTATGGTAGGAGGATTCTTTGTGGTGAACATGATAACCGATTGAGTACGCTTGGATGGAGCCCCAGCGGCAGGTCAGTGATGTGGTAATGAGTCAGATGCCAATTATACAGTGTCAGTTTGGCGTGACGGAGGTTTGAATATCAGATATGGTAGTGATAGAAGTAAGCCGATTTGATAATACTGCATTGTAGTGAACTCAGTGGCCTGATCCGCCAAATGGGCATTATAGGCAAAGACCATGGAGGAATCGAAGCGATTACAAAAGTGACTTGCTAAATACCTACCTTCGAATGACTGTGCTTAGTGTACATTAACTGAGACTTACTTTGAACATAGAAATTATTTAAAGCTTTCAGATTAATTGCTTCTTTAAAACAGTACCACTGAGAGGCCCTTTTTCTCTGCTACTGGGATCCGTCTCGTTCACTTTCTCAAGGCATTCGTTTTCCAATGATCATCCCTTCTGGGGCAGCGCAGTACCCCAGGTTTTCCTTCACGAAAAGCCTCCTCATGGAACGACATTCTCCAGATAGAGTTACCAGTTGAATAGAGGAGCATGCTGAACAGTTCTTTTAGTGTTTCTAAACCGGAAGTAATCCTTTGGTGGAAAATTCCAAAGGTTTGCTGGGTGTTGTTCTTCAGTGGTAACAGCGCCGACTTCAGGAAAACCTACTGTTAATCATATTCAGCTGACGTTGGACTCACAATTCCCAAGTCGCTACTATTGCATGTAGTTTGTCGTCTTGCCGTTCACCAATCACCAAGTTCTCTGCTCCAACAGGAAATTTGTCGCCGTTGCGAAAAACATCGTGAGTAGGCTCAGTTCCAGCCACTGGGCCACGTGTCAATGTGCGAAATCCTGCCACTACAAAAGTCACTGGATTAACCGGTGGGCCTGTTGCATGTATGCACGGTTTTTGCGCTTACGGTTCGACCGAAGCTGATTCTTTGTTTTCTGTCCATTGTCTTATACATGTTCGCTCTCTGTATTAAAAATGATACGTGTAAGTGGCGCGGATCAACCGTGATGAGATGGAGACGATCACGATTGCTGTGACTCTGATGGTAAGCAGGAGGTGCCAAAAAGTCGAGGCAGACCCATATTGCATGACGAGCTGGTGAAATACGGTGAAAACAAGTGTGGTCTGTTCAAGCGGTACAATCAGGTGTGTCCGAGGGTCAATAAGCTTGCGAGGGTGCACTGGTACCGTCCAATAAGTCGCCCAGACAGCTAGAGGAACACGCAAACAAGACCTACAAATCTGTGTATACAACGTCAGCGCACTTATAAAATAATAAATCCGTGTCTGAGGACTTTAACTTCACTCTTGGAATGCTGTTACTTATCGAGGTCTAATCAATCTCAGTCATGGAATGCAGTAGCTGCTCGTCTTCTCTGGGGTTACGTTCCAACCCCGCCTCTCCCTCCCTGAAGAAGGAAGTCCGCTACACACGGATAGCTGAACTATATCGTCTTCTGGGTCATGATATTCACCCACAGCACCAGTTATCCAAAATCGTTTTTTGCACAATCGGAGGAGCGAAATAAAATCTTTGGATGCTAGACAGAATGTGAAACACCGTGCCTCTTGGATCAGTTCATTCGTTGCAGAATTTCGGAACCAATTCAGATTCACGATGTGACCTCCATTAATGTGTTCACTATCAGACAAGACCGTACACTTATCCTCGTTTTAATTTCGAAAACAGTGCAGAAATAGTAGAGCTATGTTGTGCCAAGACCAAGACAACCATACTTTCGCTCTAAGGGCCTGTGGTTTGTTTCATTTTGAGCGTTCTATTACCTTTTCGGAAGGGAAGGTCGCATGTGAAGGATTGGTGTTGTTCTATGCATTCACGGTACAAATATTCCACGAAGTGTACAGTAAGCTTACCTCTGGGATGCAATCCCGGATTTTCTTTTTTTAAAATTAATACACTACCTGTGGTGGTCCACTTTCAGAACTGCTCGACTTTTCTGACTCTTTTCCTGCCACCGTTTTGACCGGTCTTTTTTTTATACTTTCTGATGTCCTGACTCGATTTCTTTGGAACTATGTAATATGATGAGGTCTCGCGAACGATCGGAGACCGAAATAGACTTTTGTCAAAAAGACATGGGATCTGTATCAACAAGGTTTTCGGTAGTATAAACTACTGTGAAGCGTGGCTGTACCTGAAGTAGCTATGCGGGGACCTCGACAAGCGTAATTCGGCATTTGTAGGCCTGCCAAACCAGACCACTGTACACATCAGCGAATGTATTTTGAGGCATGAAATTGCAGCAGAAGAAATGTATAGGAAGATGAAGCAGATCAAATCAGATTGTGATCCTGAGTTTGTATCGTCCTGGTGGTTCAGGGAATGAACAAGGCCTGGTCAAGCTAATTGAAAACTAGAGACCATGCATAATCCACAAGCTTAGATGACCATTTCTCTTCCCGGTTACCGACCAGAAGAGATGTTGTTTTCCCCTGTTCTATCTCCTTGTATGTAAGCGATATGTCTATCCTTGTTTTTCTCATCCAGTATGAATACTTTGATGACAGCGAGTGGATGCAGTTATCATGTGTCTGGAACAAGTCTGCAGCAATAAACTGGACAGAGTAATGTTGTTAACTGGCTAGGAGGCTTCGTGTTACCCTCAATGTCCCGAAATTCCGAAACGTTATCTTTCCCATCATCTCTGATCAATGTTGTAATGATTTACTCAGTAACCATCGATCCTAACTATTTCAGTGCTCCTCGCCTTGGACCTTCTACTGGGAAATCAAAGAGTATCAGCAAATCATGCAATCTTATTTAACGTCCTCACCTCCGGCCGTCTTGAGTGCTGTTCGGCATCTAACTTCATATGCTATGAATCTGTAAACATCTATATTCTGCCTTTCATTTATAGCTCTACTAGTGTCTGTCGTCTCCTATCATGTTCCCGGGACTCCTTGACTTCATATCAAGCCAGTACGCAGATGCCTGCTCCAAATTCATCGAACTTTTCACCAGCACAGTCGCTATTCTGGTAAACCATCGTCAAATGTGAATACTGGTGTTCTCTACATCAGTGCACGTTGCACACCCTACGTTTGTTACATCGGAAGTATCGCCTTCCGACGTCTATTGGGTTCCAGAAACTTCGTCGTACCGACTTCTCTCTATGGTCTGGCATTTGGAGGGCTGTATTACTAGACCGTACAGCAACCCTGTTACTTGATCCAAATTGTGCTCCAACTGGGGTTAGTCATCAGTCACGTGCCATTTAATTTGGGCTAGCTACAAAATGAAGTTCATTAACACCCATTGTATAAAATTAAGTCCATTGGTATGAACAGGTGTGCTACGTCACTGAGCACGGCAGCTCTCAGTATACTGCCTCCCTCTCCGTTCATCCACATAGCAAAGAGTACTTGTTGAGGGGTTTTCGCGTGCTGCAGAGGTATTCCTTGCGATTTTTTGCCCGTTAATGTAGCTGAATGAAACTTTACAAAACATATTAAAGGATTTACTCTCGATAGTCAGATGTTTTATCTATGGATGCAGTAATCCGTTGTTGGGGTGATTCGCCTGTACTGACCTCACGCTCATTCTTCTGTCCAGGAAATGCACTATTTATCTCACTCATTTATCTCCAGGTTCCTGAGAGTTCTTGGTCGCTTATTAACGCAAGTGCTAGGTTCAGGTTCAATGGTAGTTGGGGTATTTCTCACCCTGTTTAATCCTTTAACTACCGTGTGCTTACAAAATGAAAATAACCCAAAATACTTTTCGCCC